TTAAAATAAAATAAGAGATACTAATATTTAAAATTATTATATTCTTATAAATTAAAAATAAGTTTAAAATGATAATTTTTAATCCCTTAATTTTTAATATATACATATTTTTTGTCCATCCATTTTAAGTTAAGGGATTAAAAATGTGTGTATTTAGAAAAACTTAATGGAGTAATTAATAGAAGGATTAAAAAAAATATGAAGAATGGAGTAAAAAAGTATATAAAAAAACTAAATGATGAAAATTATATAAAATATTAAAATTGAGGATTAAAAATGAAATTTACCCCTTTAAAATTTGAATTTGAATGGTAGCAGGCAACTGTACCAAAAAATGGAAAATTGACAAGTGAGAAAGCTGGATGCGAGAACAAAAGAGGATTTGCGCGATCGAACTTGCAAAGTTGGCCAAAACGAAGTCGTTTCGGCTAGGAAATCTTTTTTTTTTTTTTTAATTCTTGCATATTATACCAATTAAATTTTGTAACGATTAAATTTCAACTGATACATTGAAATTTGACTGATATAACCAAAATTTGACCGAAATAAAATTTTAATTTATTTGATTTCGATTAATCTCCAAAACTGGTACGTACTGGCCGGTACGGTACCAACTACATTGGTTCCAAGTTCGAACGTCTTGCACCGAATATGCTGCGGGAGTCGGGACTTAGAGAATGGGCCCCTCTTTCTTCTTTTGGATCTAGATACATGGGGCCGCGGTCATCTAGGTAGCCCAGATATTACCAAGAAAATCTATGTAAGCCCAAAAAGAAACGGCTATGGCCCACCTTCAAAGCAGAAAGCTTTAATGATTTTAACGGGACAAAAGTATTAACTTAGGATTTCATCTTTATTACAATTTCTAATTGAGGACTCAATCTAAATATTTTCTTAATCCAAGATTCCAATTCCTCAAATTTCCTATTTTAGGAATCATCGATTAATTAGACATTTAGATGGGAGGAAAGACACAGTTTGGAATCCTAATTCACTACTTTCTGTCTCTGAATTTTCTTGAAAATAATACCGAGCTGCTATTTATTTTAGAAAA